TCTCTCGAACAATTTCTTGAGAAATTCCTCGGCGTCGGCGGCGAATTTTCGAAGAATTTACAAGGAAGCTTTAACCGAGGGGCATAATTTTGTAAGATCGTAACGAGAGTTCAATATAAAGTTTCAAGGTTAGGAAATGTTCATGATACATCCGTGATTTGTAATCTTAATTCGATCACATCGTATTTCGTAATCTTGATGCAATTACCTCGTAACTCGTCGTCTTTGTTCGATTACAACGTAATCCGTGACCTTAATTCGGTTACGTTGTAATTCCTGGTATTAATTATAATTGAAACGTGATTCGCAATTGGGGTGATTCGAACGCTTCGTAATTCGCGATTGGTGTCGATTCGATTGCGCCGTAATTCGTAATCGGTCTAATTGAATTGTTCGGTATTTTGTAATTTATGTAACTGAATTACATAGCACTTCGTAATTAACGTAATCTAATTACTTAGTACTTCGTCATTAACATAATCGAATTATTTAGTACTTCGTCATTAATATAATTGAATTATTTTGTATACTTTATAATTAATGTTATTGAATTATTTAGTGCTTTGTAATTAACGTAACTGAATCACTCAGTAATTGTAATTAATTGTTAATTGTTATTAACGTAATCGAATCATTTAATATCTTGTAATCTAAACTAATTTAATCATTTTGTACTTTCTAATCAATGTAATTGAATTTCTTAGTATTTTGTAATCAATGTAATTTAATTGCTTAGTATTTTATAATCAATGTAGTTGAATTACTTAGTACTTTGTAATCAATGTAATCGAAATGCTCAGGACTTCGTAATCAACGTAATTGAATTACTTCAAACGAACAAACAATCGAACTCGGCAACATCTTCGGAGAGATTTAGGACCTGCTGGGACTTAGGGCCTAAGTAACGCGCGGCCAAGTCCCGTTGACGCCTTCTTAACCCGTTCGCGTTCGGCTCTGAAACGTCCAGGCCGGGAGAAACGTGTTCCGCGCGCGGTCGAGCTAGTTTTCGCGAGAACCTTAGCCGGGAGGGAGCCGATTAAAACGCGCGCAACGCCGCGATTTAGCCGAGCCGCCCACCTTTGGCACTGGTTTCGGCCTACTTATTTCTTCCGTCGTTGGTGCAGACCGATCGCGATCGGCTCGGTCCGCGAGCGAGAGCGGCCGTTTAACCGGCGCGCGCGCGCGCCGACTTCTTCCGTGCCGAAGCAGCTGATTGCGACAGAAGCGACCTGCCATGTCGACCTGTAAACAATAACAATGCCCGATCGAGTTCGAGCTGGCAAGTCGGAAACAGGCACAGCAGAGCTTTGCTGTCGTCGTCGTTGTCGTTGTCGCTATTCATTTCTGTCAGAGTTCAGCGGATTTATAACTGAATTGCTCGCGGATTGTAATTACAAAGTAATTCAATTATGTTACAATGTTGTCGCATTGTTATTCGTAATTCGGGATAACCATGAGATTATTTGAATTAGAATGCAATTCGTAATTGCGATTGGAGTTCAATTATCGAGTACTGAGTGATTCAATTACATTGATTACAAAATACCAAATAATTCAATTATATTGATTGCAAAGTATTAAGCGATTCAATTAAATTAATTACAAGATATTAAGTAATTCAATTACATTGATTACAAAATACTAAGCAATTCAATTACATTGATTAGAAAGTACTAAGCTATTCAATTACATTGATTACAAAGTACTATGTAAATCGATTACGTCAATTACAAACTATTAACTAAATCAATTACATAAATTATAAAATACCGAGCAATTCAATTAGACCGATTACGAATTACGGCGCAATCGAATCGACACCAATCACGAATTACGAAGCGATCGAATCACCCCAATTGTGAATCACGTTTCAATTATAATTAATACCACGAATTACAACGTAACCGAATTAAGATCACGGATTACGTTGTAATCGAACGGAGACGACGAGTTACGTGGTAATCGCGTCAAGATTACGAAATACGATGTAATCGAATTAAGATTACAAATCACGGATGTATCACGAACATTTCCTAATCTTGAAACTTTAGATTAAACTCTCGTAATAATCCTACAAAATTATGATTTATCCAGCACCGGTTACAGTGACATCTTTCGTACGGCACGACACATTACCACGTTCGTTTCCCTTGAGATTTTGCTTCGCCGAATTCGAATCCGGTCGGCAAAATTTGCCAGTTCAGTATTTTTTTTTGGAAAGAGAACGAATCGACACGAGCGATTGACCTCTAACGACGAACATCGTACATCGTTATTTCGACCAGCACCGTATTTAGCAATAAACAACCGCTAAATATCGATGGCGGTGGCTACCCAGAAAGCGAGAAAGAGAGAGCCGGTCGCGATCGGTGGTCGCCGCGCCGGGGCGAAGGGAAGCAGCGCGCAGCGTTAGGAGCTATTTTATTTTGGTCAGTGACTAGGTTTGCGTAACGTCTCCGGCGCAGCGATTGGTCGAGAGCTGCATGTAGTCCGGCCGGCGTGGACGCGACGCGAGGCGACGCGCGACGTGGCGGGGCGAGGGGCGGCGTCCCGACGCGTCGCGGCGCTGGGCGCCGCGCAAAGATAGTTGCTCCTAAAATGGCCCACGGTAACGCGATCCCCATCTGGATGCAAAAATAGGATCCCGTGGTTATCCGACCACATTACATCCTTCTCCCTGACATCGGCCGCCCCCGTCGCGCCGCCACGCCGCGATCGCGACGCTCTCGCTCTCGCTCGCTTTTCCGCTCCGACGCTATATTTCATTCTTTTTATTGCGCCAGGTAGCCGACGACGCGATGCGTTATCGTCTCTAGCCACGGCTGACCTTCCGCCTCGCAAGGTTGTGGACCAGCACCCTTGCGTCCCCGCCTCTCCGTGTCATCGACGCGCCTCGTATTCTACGCTATTCTTTTGCTTCCCCTTCTGCTTCTCCGGTGTCCATTCGATTTGTTATCGATAAATTTGTCGGACAAATTTTTTCCAGCAATTTTTCATTCGGATAATATGTCGGGGAAATTATTCGAATTGAATTCTAGTCGGATAATGTGTCGGGGAAATTATTTGAATTGAATTTTAGTCGGATGATATGTCAGGGAAATTATTCGAATTGAATTTTATTCGGATAATATGTCGGGGAGATTATTGGAATTGAATTTTATTTGGATAATGTGTCGGGGAAATTATTCGAATTGAATTTTATTTGGATGATGTGTTGGGTAAATTGTTTGAATTGAATTTTATTCGGATAATATGTCGGGGAAATTATTCGAATTGAATTTTATTCGGATAATATGTCGGGGAAATTATTCGAATTGAATTTTATTCGGATAATATGTCGGAGAAATTCTTCGAATTGAATTTTATTCGAATAATCCATCGAATAAATTCTTCGAATTGAATTTTATTCGAATAATCCACCAAATAAATTCTTTGTATTGTACTTTATTCTAATAATCCATCTAATTGAATTTTATTCGAATAATCCTTTGAATAAATTCTTCGAAAGATTATTTAAATAAAAATCAATTCGATGGATTATTCGAAATATTGTTCAAATCAAATTCTATACTAATAAAATATTACTCTAAAAATGTATTTGAACCTTTTTGCGAATAAAATGTTATTCGAATAATGTGAAACTCTGCTTCCGACAAATAAATTGTATTACAAAATTAGAAAGTCGATTTCGACCTAAATAAAATATGTTTAAATACCTATGAATAAGAATTGACGGTAAATCTACGTCTGTCGCGGCCGATAAAAAAATCTCCGCGGTCGGAGAACGAATAATCGACGAATAAAACGGCGTATTTCGAACCGAACGCGTTCCATTCCCATTCGGAAATGATTTCGAATGGCTCGCGGTCCGCCTGCCGAGCGTGATATCCAGAATAGGAAGTCCCGAGACCGGGCACATAATTGAATTAACTGCGTCCCGGCGCGGATAAGTCCGCGGAAAAATGCGTGAACGTCGCGGCGCGTGACGGCGACAGCGTAAAGAACGGCATCAACGGTCCGTTTCCTCGATTCGTTCTAGCCCAGTTCAGAGGAATGGGAGGAAATGCAGGCGGAGAGGCGCGCGCCCGGAAATAAAAATAACGCGGCTCGAAAAGAATCGGGCGAAAGCTCGGCCGTGCATTTTTCTCTCGGATGAGCGCACGGAACGAGAACGAAATCGCCTCGGCAATCCAGAAAAAGGAAAGCGGATATAGAAATCGCCGTTGTAACTGGACTCTGCCGATATGTCTTGTCGCGTGGATCCCGATTTCAATTGATCGTTTCACGGAAACTCGGATCGGAAGGGTGTCCAATTTATTAGCTGGAAAATTCCTTGCGAGAGAATAGCAGCGCGATCAATCTTTTGTTAAATAATTTAACATTTCGGTGTGACGCTAATGTTCGACTAGTTTTAACAATTCGTTTTTATCGGAATATATTCGAATTAACTGAATTTTTTTGGGATGTTTAGAATGCATTCAAGATACGATGTTGTTCGCTATGGTAAATTCAGTTTCGTTGATTGGGTTAGATTTATTTTTAGTCAAGTGTTGACGATACGTAATGTTTTTTCAAATAGAATTGTTGATTGTTGTATTTAATTATTAATTGTTGAATGGAACGATTAATTATTGAATCGAATTATTAACTGTTGAATCGAATTATTAATTATTAAATCGAATTATTAAATCAAACTGTTCATTCAGTCGAATTCTGAATATACATATGTATGTATACTTAATTATACTTAATTCTGTACGCAGATTACTATAGATTATCATATCGTAGCAACAGCAACACCTAATTCTATACATATACATATAGTCGCACCGTTTTCGCCCCCGCATCGAAGTCTCCCGTAGCATCTTCACCCACCTCTCTCATCTTCCGTACTCCGAATGACATTTCCGCGTTTTCCGGAAGTTTTATAACGGACGCACACGATCCGTCTGTTTCTCATTGCGTGCCGGCGTAACGTTTCGTTTTCTTATTCGTTGCAGTTCAAGGGGAGATTGTGATGCAGTCGACGCCCACGGTACCAACGTAAGTACCTCGATGGTTATGCAGCATTTCCACGAAAACTTTTTATCCTCTATTCTCGTACCCTTGTTCGAGCGAATTTCTATCGAAATAGAAATCTTATTCGGACAAATTACACTGTCCGACAAAATCAAACTTTTTTTCTGAGTTCCTATAGCCACTATGAAATTCTTGTAGAGCTTCACTCCCTGAACAAGAATCCGAAAACCGAATTGCTCCATCACCCTCAGTTTTTTAAATAAACGAACTTTTGTAAAAACCCAAAATTTTCGACAAAAACGAGGTATTGCATGGAAAGTACAAACGTTAGAAAGTTCTAATTGGTGTTAAAAGATAGAGGAGAGTTTCCTGAATATAGTGGCATACAACTTATTAATTGTTTGGTCTTAAATAACTATAAATTAATGTCAAAGTTTTAAAAAGTGTCGACGTGAGCAGTTTCTGCGCAATATTTTTGTATTTTTACGAAAAGTTTTTTGTTCAGCACGAAAACTCTCCCCAGGATCGAATTCTGTAGGCATTTCTAAAGAAGAAACGGCCCGATAGAAGTGTCAGAACGATGTACGTTTCGAGTAGGTCGAGAAAATGTTCGTCGGCAACATGTACACGATGTTTTGCCGCCATGTGCTTCGCTGCTCGCTTCTCTCTGTCCGACAGGGCCGAGGCTATGGGTAATCAACACCGATGGAGGGATCCAATGGGGCACCCACTTAGCGTGTGGGGCGTGCCATTTTGTTTAGTACTTCAATGTGCTGTCTTCTTTTACATATTTTTATGGATAATAATCACCAAACTGTGAATCATAAATTAAAAATGGAGAAATAGTAAAAGAAAAATAATGAACAAAAAATATTCATTTTATACTGAATTTGTTCGAATTACAAGTATATCATGTATACAATTATCATTTAAATTATAACGATAATACGATCATGAATAAATAATCATTTTCAAAACGTTAAACTTCTTGAAACATATTGTTAAATATATATTTAAATATTTATTTAATTATATGGCATAGAAGTCAAAATTATACTAGTGTTAGAATACTTTCGTTACCAACTCCAAATACTCTGGTGTGATCTTTTTTGTGAAATATATTACAGTTTGGTGATTATTATCCACAGAAATATGTAAAAAAAAACAGAACATTGAAGTACTAAAAAAAATTCAAATATTATTTACGAAAAGAGGGTGCCCCATTGGATCCCTCCATTGGTGTTGATTACGCGTAGCTTCGGTCCTGTCGAACAGAGAGAAGCGAGCAGCGAAGCTCATGGCGGCAAAACGTCGTGTACATGTTGCCGTTGAACATTTTCTCGATCTACTCGAAATCGTATATCGTTCCAATACTTTTACCGCGCCGTTTCTTCTTCAGAAATGTCTACAGAATCTGATTCTGGGTAGAGTTTTCGTGCTGAACAAAAAACTTTTCGTAAAAATACAAAAATATTGCGGAGAAACT